CAATCCTTTCACTTAACTGCAAGGATGCTCCAAGGCTAGACACTAGGGAGCAGGCTTGCTCAACAGGCATTCAAGAGATCATGCTACATAGTAGAAAGCCTTCTACAAGAGTGATTAAATAGAGGCATTTGTCCAGCTGGTCTCATCAATATGGGGTGTTATCATCCAGTTATTCAGTTCAACTTATTCTGGACTACTCATTATACCTAAATACCAAGGTTTGGTGGTTAGTTCCATCAAGGTACATCTGGCTGCAATTTCAGCATTCCATCCTACGGTGAACAATTGCTGTTTCTCCAGTGACATGTTCATAACGTTTTAAAGGGCTTAGTCAAATTATACCCTCAAGTGCAGTATGCTGTTCCCCGTAGAATCTAACCCTACTTACTGTCAAGACTTATGGGTCCCCCACTTGAATAGTTGGCTACCTGCTGTCTGCTGCTTCTGTCAATGAAAGTGGCTTTTCTGGTGATCATTACTTCAGCTAGAAGAGTAAAGGAGTTATGGTCATTAATGTCAGGATCTCCATATATAATCTTTTAAGGACTGTATTTGCCTGCGCCCTCAACTGAAGTTCCTCCCAAAGATGGTTTCCTCTTTCCACGTCAACCAGCCAATTTATATGCCTATTCTCTGCCCCAAGCAGGATACAAACCAGGAGGAAGAGCATTAGCATACCTTGGACATCAAAATAACCTTGGCATTTTACCTAGATAGAACTAGACACTTTTGTAAATCTTCCCAGTTGTTCATAGCAGTGGCTGACAGAGTAAGAGGTCAATCAGTCTCCACCCAAAGAATTTCTTCCTGGATTTCATCCTGTATACACATAAGCTATGAATTGGCTAATGTCACTCCGCCCATCAGAATTACAGCTCATTTGACGAGGTCACAATCAAACTCAGTGGCCTTTCTGGCACAAGTTCCAGTTGCAGACATTTGTAAAGTGGCAATCTGGTGCTTGGTCCAAGACACCACAGACGATGCTAGAGTGGGATGAGTTGTTCTCCAATCTTTATTGAAATAGAATCCAATCCTACCTCCTGTTCTATGGTTTGTGAGTCACCAAGAGTGGAATGCACACGTGCAATCACTTGAAGAATTAAAAACAGTACTATCCTGTTCCATAACTGTTGTTCTTCAAAATGTGCTGAACATATCTATTCCCCAACTTGCCCTTCTACACCTCTACATTGGAGTTATGGCAAGAAGGAACAGGGGGGGCTCTGCCTGTTATACCTGCACACAGCAGCATATGCCAGCTGGGGGAATTAAAGCTGCCCAACCAGTACCACGGAGGGGAAAAAGTTTCTGACAGCTGGGTGCACAGACATCAAGAGTGGAAGGACCTGTGCAACATATTTCGAAGAACAATAATTAATGAACCTGTTTGTAACTATTTTTTCTATGACATGTTCTAATATTTATCTTTCTACCAAGACCTGTTTCCTTGTGACTATTAATTCAACAAGAAAGGTTTCAGAGCCCGCCGTGCTGTCAATGAAAGAACCATATCATATATTCTACAAGAACAAAGTGGTTTTTCTAATCAATACATTATATTTTCCACACTTCTCATGAAATCGTACTATCTTTGTGTTCAAACCATTACCAATCTAAGGAGAATTTAGGGCACCATCTGGACATGTAAAGAGACATGAAAATTGATCTCAGACATACAGATTAATTCACAGAATCAGCCTCAAGGTTCATTTACTTTCTCCCAAAGTGTATAGGCCTCCAGATTCTCCCTGGCCATGCGAATGAAGTGCTGAATTGTTAATACCTTTGTAGCATCTGTTAAACAGTTCCAGGGATTAAACTTCATTCCACACACTCTGTAGCAGTTTTCTAGACAGAGCCTTGACTGCTACAGAGGAAATATATAGAGTAGCCACTTGATCCTTGAACAACGCTTTAAACATTAAGTGCCTCTCCTGTCCTTTTAAATACACCCTTTGTGGGAAGGTGCTTTATGTGTTGGTCCCATTGTAAATTCTTCTAGATCTTTTTTCTCAAGCAGTTTGGATTTCTTGTCTCCCTTTTACCTACACTATCTCTTTCCTTCTTTGTTCCTGTGTTTTACTATTTCACTGTTGTGCTTAGTACACATCAGTCACAGATTGCGGGAGATGCTGCGCTCCAGAATGGAAGTTTGGTATCTGATCATTTCTTTTCAGAACATCTGAAACAATCCACCCATGCTGGTGATTTCCAAATAGGAAAACCAGAAGTAGAGTTTATGTCTAACACATGCCCACACTGAAATGACATCTAGTTTGTCTACCAGTTTTGATTCTATTGTTGGGGTTTTGTTTCAAAATCACATCTAAGTGTTTCTGTGGCTTTGGAAGCAATCTTCTGGTGGGCAGAAATAATAGGTATGGTCTAACTCAGAGTTCCCTAGTAACGGTGCTGAACTGCTTCCAAAAACTGTGCAGAAAAGGCACTGCCTATAAATCACAGATTAGGAGAGATGTCACTCATGGAAAGGAAACAGGTTACCTCACCATAGTTATTCATGCCCACTAGCTTGACTGCTGTAATGTGCTCCGCTTACAAATCACTCAGAGGCTTCAGTTAGTGCCACATGCAGGTACATACATTTTTTAAGTAAAACAGATTGTTATAGCACATAGCATAGTTCCCCATGATGTCCAGTCCAGTTCTAGGTCCCATTCAAGATATGGATTATCATCTATACAGCACTGACTGGCCTGAGATTTGGCTGTCTTAAACCACCATTGCCCCGATGCCTCATTACAATGACACTCAACAAGAATACTCTTGCTTTCTGTCACCATGGTTGAATACCAAAATGTGGGGTTGAGATTATCGTCAATGTAAGGCCCTTGGCCCTGAAATTTGTTTGCACTTGGCTATTTAAGATGTATTTTAATATGCTATTTTTTAAAGGACAAAAAGCTGAGCACCCATGGCTATTTAAATTCATGTTATGAATGCTTTGCACTTCTGAAAATCACATCCCGAACCTTTTTTTTTTTTTTATCTGGGCATGTTGGCTCCGGATGTAGTCTGTGGTGATAGTATCAGTAGTTGAGGGGGAAAGGTGTGGGTTTGATCTTTCTGTCTTTACTTTGTAATATGACTCCATCTATCATGATGATTGCAATATGAATTTAAAAAAAATGTAACATGGTATATTTTAATATATTTGATTTCTTGCAGCTTACAACCCCAGGAGCTCAGAATATGTACGAAAGAAGTACAAGAGGAAACTGGAGCAGTTCATAGATCACTGTGACCTCATCCCCTACTTGGGTACCAAAATGACCCGTAAATACAAAGAACCTCAAAATAGACCTATTGACTTTGATCACAAATTACGGATGTTTTTGTCTCTTAAAGATGTGGATCCAACCTCTGGTTAGTTTGAAATGTGCAACAATGAAATAATTGGGCATTTTCATTGAACTACTGAATTCTGACTAGCTTGGTGAATTTACTTATTTTGTACTTCAACTGGTCATAAATGTTTAGCCATAAAAGTAATTGTGTTAACAAAGAATGTTATACTTTTATAAATAGATAAGACTCTGATAGGTAGAATTTAGTTATGATTCCTGGCATAGATTTGATGTAGTTTATTGTAAAAACGTATTTAGTTTAATATATCATATACAATATATTTTAGAAATGTTTATTATCTTGAAAAGTAGGGAATATTTTGATCAGCACTGAAAGAAAATTATTAAATATTCTGAAAACTTCACTGAATTGTACAATTTAGTTTTTCACATAATCATTTTTCTGTCTCTCAGTATGTCAGCATTATCAGTACAATAAATGCATTCTTTTATTCGATGTAATGGAACAATCTTAAACTTACTTTCACACCGTTGTACAGAAAGAGGCAGTTAGACATGACTAAATTGAGTAATTTGTGCTCGATTTTATACTTACCACTTCTGTATCTATTTGTGATTATTAACAATGTAACTAATCATTTAGGGAAACACAGGATGTTTAAAAAACCTTTGAGGAAAATGGTCTCCTCATAAACAAAAATCAAGGAGTTTTAAGATACCAGTGTTTTAAACACACCCAAGCAGAACACTCTTGGAAACAAGTATCTACAAGTGACATGACATCTGACTACAGTAGTTATTTCCTGTTCCTTTTATTGCTTCTACCCAGTTCTTTATTGTAAATGTGGCTGTAGAAACATACAGTTTAAGGAGGGTGTGAATGTAAAACTAAAATATTTAAAAAATTCTCAAAGAACTTTATCTCAGAAAAAAAAGTCAGAATCCATCCGCTCTCGGGCCCTTATCATTCTGTTTGGAAGGACTTTTAAAAAGTTAGTTCTCAAAGCCCAGCCCGCTTCTTAGCCGGGGTCTTTCAAGCATTTTCTTTCTACATTTGCTGATTTTTAAAAAATATGTTTTAAATAAAGCAAGAGCTTTCTAAACTCTGGGACTAGACTGGCAGGGCGGTGAGCGGGTGCAGAGAACGAGCAACCCTTTCTCTGGCAGAAGGCGGCTGAGGTCCGCGGTGTTGCACTGGCCGCAGTTGGGAAGCGGTGACACAAGTGAGACACAGAAAGGAAAGGAGTACTTGTGGCACCTTAACAGGTTTCAGAGTAACAGCCGTGTTAGTCTGTATCCACAAAAAGAAAAGGAGGACTTGTGGCACCTTAGAGACTAACCAACTTATTTGAGCCTAAGCTCTGGTGAGCTACAGCTCACTTCATCAGAAGGCCTCCTTTTCTTCTTGCGCATACAGACTAACAGGGCTGCTATTCTGAAACAAGCGAGACGGTTACAAGGTGAGGATTGATGTAGGCTGCCTCAGTGGGCCCTGCGTGCCCAAGTGAGCGAAGACCGACGCTGGGCCAAGCTAGAGGAAGGCTGCTCCCAGAGCCCGGCGGCGCGAGGAGGGGGAAGCGCGCGAGCGCACCGGAACGTGTCACTCAGTGGGACGCTGACCTACGTGGGGGCGGGGGCGCGCGCCTTGCCCGAGTTGTGAGCCGGCCCGGGACACACGCAGGCAACGCCCCCAGCTGGTGCCTGCCCCACTGCCCAGCGAGACGCGGCGCCGTCGCCTCCCACAGCCCCTGACCGGACGTGCAGGCCCTCCTCCACCGCGGGCGAGTCCCTACCACAGAACAGGGGCGGGCCGCTTCCTAGAGAAGTCCGCGCCTTCCCCCAGTGCGCGCGGGGCGGAGCCGGGCGGCTGAGGCACGTTGGCGGAGGGGCCGTTGCTGTTCGTTGCGAAGGAGGCGGGGCTTGTGCTGGCTGCGCCTGGAGCCTTCTCGAGGCCCCGGCCGATTTGCTGCTGCCTGAACGGCCGAGAGGGACGTGCGGGCAGCTCAACGGCGTGACGCAGGTTCGTACCCCTCCCAGGGGGGAGGAGAGCTGGGCCCGGCCCGGCCCGGCGCGCACCCTCCCTGAACGCTGCCTGCGGCTGCAGCTGATCAGTGAGCCCCGCCGGGCCAAGCCGGGGCGGCCTCCCCGGCCTGCGGTAGCGGCCGGCGCAGGTCTCCCCGACGGGCTGCGAGAGTCTGTGCGGGCCTTACCTCACCCCCGGTAGGAGGCTCTCCCCGATTCCTGAGGCTGCTCCGGGCCGGGTGGGTCGTTGGGCTGAGGGGCTAGAAACCCACTGGCCGCCGGGCGGATGGTCTGGCCATGCAGCTTGGAAGGGGGCCATGGCGGGAGGAGGCTCGCTGGAGCACTGCAGCTGCACGGAGGTGGCAGCGCTCGGGGCCAAGGAGTGTCCCGAGCCTCCTCCCCACAGCCTGACCGGACCCCTTCTTCTCTCCCCCGCGCCGCGACGGGAGACCCTCCTCCCCACAGCCTGACCCACCCCCGCCCACACACAGACACACACACACAGCCTGACCCACCCCGCCCCCCCCAGCCTGAAGGGGGAGCCTCTTCTCCGCAGAGTCTGAGATAGCCCCTAGTCTTAGCGGTCTATAACATACACTCGAGTCAGCCTTTGTGCATGGCCCCCCATCACGCTGTAACGTGGGGATCACAGCCCCTGCTTGTGTTGGCCAACATAGCACTTTACCTCATGGGGAGACTTACAGCTTTAGGCTGCTGTGTGCATACCACTCCTCGCAACAGCTTTATGGGGCATATGCCCCCCCCCCCCATCTATAAATGAGGAACTGAGGTGTGGAAAAGTGTGATTTGCTCAGGATTAGGGTAAACCAGGACCAGAAGCTGAGAGTAAAACCCTGGAATCCTGGTTCCCAGAGCCCCGCTCAAATACCTGCAGTTGCAATCTCATAGCCAAGATCCTCTTGATAAACTGTTCATTGTTTCAGAGAATGTTTGGGTTTTTTTTCTTTAGGTGGGATTTGATGTAAAAGTTAAAATGAATAATTCAGCCTCAATTAAAAAAAAAACAGATGCCAAAAGTCTGTTATCCTAGTCTGCGCCTGCTGTTGAGCTCTGATCCTTGAGTCTCCAGTGTGCTGTTTAGTGCTCATCTAGCTCCCTTTCCGGTTATTCGATATTTAGAGACCCTACTAGCTCTTTGACGCCGTGGTGAATCATAGAATATCAGGGTTGGAAGGGACCCCTGAAGGTCATCTAGTCCAACCCCCTGCTCGAAGCAGGACCAATTCCTGTACTTCACGTTTTCAAACTTTTTTCACGGTACCCATTTTTATACAGACAATGTCTTGTGGACCACCATCCCCTCCTATTCGCAAGCCTGGAAAGGAACTTCTCCCAGGTGGCAGTTATACAAATCTGTGTTACAATTACAACCATTGTTTATATTTAAAATATCCTAAAGCTGGATATTTTTATTGTTTTTATTATTTTTAGCTGTCCTAAAACATTTTAACAGCTGTCAGTGAGGAGAAACTAGCACCATGTGATTAGCCAGCTCTCTGCAGACCATCAGCATGGACCAAAATTTGGACCAAAATTTGTCTGATCATATTAGAGAGACAAAGTAGGTGAGGTAATATCTTTTATTGGACCAACTTCTCTTGGTGAGAGAGAGATTCTTTCGAGTTACCTAGAGCTCTTCTTCGTGTCTGGGAAAGATTTTCAGGGTGTCACAGCTTAATACAAGATTGAACAGGTAGAGTATGTGCTAACTACTTGTGCTAAAACTGGCTGTTAGATCTTGAATTTAGCTGTGACACTCTGCGTACCTTTCCCAGGCCTGAAGAAGAGCTCTGTAGCTTGAAAGCATGTCTCTCTCACCAACAGAAGTTGGTGCAATAGAAGATATTATATCACCCACCTTGTCTCTCTAATATTCTGGGTCCGATATGGCTACAACTCAGATCATATTAGTGTGCATTCCTGTTTTATATAACCTCCCTAGAGTATGTTTTTTTAGAAAAACCAACAAATATTGTTAGGATCTTGCAGCCAGAAAAGTAATGATATGATTGTGTTGCTATGAATGTATACAGTACCGAAATACCTACAAGCCATGTGCAGCTTCTGCAAGTTAATGTTACGAGAACCATAAATTTGAATTCCTTGGCAATTGTTTAAACATGTAACCTTATTTTATTTTTCTTATTTGAAAGTTAACTATTTTTATTAATATCACAGGTCGTTAATATATTATATATGGGCAAATTACAGTTGTTACTGTACAAAACATAATTGTTGCATTCCCTGACCACTTTGTGCTTAAGCATGCTGTTTTGTTTGTTGCCTAAAAGTAGCGTTATTATTTTTGCATTTAATTTCATTCTTTTAGACTATGCTTGCAATACAGAATTTTACAAAAAAACATAAATCACAAAGATTACTACCAGTGGCTTAGCAGAACTTGTGTTTATATAGGTAGGAACCATCATATAAGCAAGGCTCTGGCAGCTTCCAGCATTTTTACCATTTGTTAGTGCTATTTCTTTCACAGCTACCTCTGGATTAAAAATATGCAGGAAAAGGTTTGAAGGAGAATTTTTCAGAAGTTAGCATGTGAAACCATGCCCTTCTTGAATCATAGAATATCAGGGTTGGAAGGGACCTCTGGATCTAGTCCAACCCCCTGCTGAAAGCAGGACTAGTCCCCCATTTTTTTCCCTAGATCCCTAAATGGCCCCCTCAGGGATTGAACTCACAACCCTGGGTTTAGCAGGCCAATGCTCAAACCACTGAGCTATCCATCTGCTCCCCATAGGAGTTTCGCTGTTGACTTCAGTGGGCCACGGTATCATCCTAGGTTCTAATAGAAGTCCCATCATAACCCTAACTAAGGTATTTGTGAAAGTGAAAGCTAATGAAAACAAAAGTTAGCTTTTCCACTGTCTTTTTTTAAGTTCCAAAAGACATTAGTTTCAGATGGGGCAGCCATTTTGGGTACTGAACAGCATGAGGCACATTGGTACTAAATAAATAATAGTAGTCAAAAATAATTTGCATTTCACAAAGTTTTTATAGATGTTCTTAAGTATTTAAAAACTTTGCTTTATTTGAAGGGAAAAAGTATATGTCAGGATTGACTTTTTATAACTAGGTCAAAAGCTTCAGTTTTGCTGCAGAAATTCCTTAGTTATGGAGTAAGCTGTAATATTTTATTTTTTGTAATGCAAATCTCTAAAAATGTTTCTTTTTTCAATAATACCATTTTACTCTTGTAGGTAACTCTTTTCCTGTTTGCAGTAAAAATGGCAGAAGCAATTGCTGACCCTCCAGAGAAGCTTGTTGTTATCCACTCCAAGGCTCACAGAGATACCATTCTAGCTAATTTTGCAGAACAAAGGAAAAAGAATTTTCTTTGTGATATCACTTTAATAGTAGAGGATGTGCACTTCAGAGCCCACAAAGCTTTACTTGCTGCCAGCAGTGAGTACTTTTCAATGATGTTTGTAGATGAGGGAGAGATAAGCCAATCAATTTATATGTTGGAGGGAATGGTTGCAGACACTTTTGGTGCACTACTGGAATTTATCTACACAGGTTATCTCCATTCCAATGAAAAAAGCATGGAACAAATACTGGCAACTGCACAGCTCCTAAAAGTGAATGATTTAGTATGGGCACATGCAGATTATCAGACCAACCATAGCCCAAATAATCCTCTCACATCTAGTAGTGGTGCTTCAGTAGTTGTCTTTGCAAATGACAAGAAAAATGGAGATCCACCAAAGCGAAAACGAGGAAGACCAAGAAAAGTCAAGAATGCTCAAGAGGAAAAATTTGGGACATCTTCTGTTGAAGATGTGCAGCTAAGAGAGAACAATTCAGTGCGAAATAAACAAAATTTTATGAAAAAAGTTGCAGCGGAAGAAACTGTTGCCAGTGAACAAGTTCCAGTAAGGAAAGAAGTGGAAGAAACTGAGCCAGCTTGTGGTTCAGAAGCTGCTGTAGATCTATCAGCTGAGAAGGATGAGAATTATGATCCTAAATCTCAAGGAATACAGAGCAATCAGAGTCGTTATAGCAAACGTAGAATACGGAGGTCTATCAAGCTAAAAGATTATAAACTTGTTGGTGATGAAGATGGAAAAGTATTGACAAAGAGAACTGATAGAAAAAGAAAACGCACAGGTTCTGAAGCTTGTTGCAAAGAATGTGGCAAAGTGTTTAAATATAATCACTTTTTAGCTATTCATCAGAGAAGTCATACAGGTAGGCATAAAAACTACCTTTTTTGGGTTAGGGTATGGTAACTGGCTACAATTGGTTTGCATTGTAATTATTCAAATGTTGCTTTATATCATGGTATTGATATATATGGTGGATCACCAAGATTTTGTTTCTACTATTTTACTTAATTCTTATCTTCAGAGATTATAACCTTTGTAGTTTGCACACTGATTGCTATCTAGTTAATTATTTTTTCCAGTGAAAAACATTAAATTGGATATTGGCAGTGCCTATCCAATGCTACTTATAAAATGATTGATTTTTAATGATTGCTATAAGGGAGCTTAGGTTTTTGTCTGTATTAATCCTCCTGGTCTACTGAAAATTCATTTTTTAATGGTGATAATGTCCTGTCATGCATCTTGCTATCAACTTAGAATATTTACTTAGAAATTTATTAGCAATAACTCTTTGCTATTTACAGTCTTGGCGCTTTACTTTTAGGAGAACGCCCTTTTAAATGCAATGAATGTGGTAAAGGCTTTTCCCAGAAGCACTCTCTTCAGGTTCATGAGCGGATGCATACTGGAGAGCGACCATATACCTGTACTGTCTGTAGTAAAGCTTTAACAACAAAACATTCTCTTTTGGAACATATGAGCCTACACACAGGTAAGTTATCAAAGACAAATATAATCTAGCTATACTAAGTATTAGACATTTCAAAACAAACATTTCTGCTCAGTATTTTCTTTTTAAAGTAAGTGTTAGACTCTTATGCTATAAGGTAGCTAAGTTATACAGAAATGTTAGTTATGTTTTAGCTTAATTTTTGGAATTATGTATATTTTTAGGGATATTAATTTTTATTACAGGACAGAAGGCTTTTACGTGTGATCAGTGTGGAAAGTATTTTAGCCAAAAGAGACAACTGAAGAGTCATTACCGAGTGCACACAGGTATAACAAGGCTGGTGGGGGAGGACGGGCGGGTTGCCTGGCTTTCTCCCCCTCCCATCATCATGATCTGTTAGGCTGTCACCTGATCACCAGAGATGAGTAGTAAAAGTAGTACCATCACTGTCTGTTGTCAATATTGTGCTTTGTGTTTTTCTGCTACTCCTCTGGCTGAATGGTATTGATAGCTTTAAAAGGAGTCCCAGCTAATTTTGTTCTAGAAAGATGGTGGCTGGATAATAGGCATGTAAAGTGGAGAGGAACTAAGGAATCACAAAGCTCCAAAAGGAAGGTGATAGAGGTAGGAGTTAAAACAACCAGCGTCCTTTCTTCAGTGATCGAATTAACTGGGGAAATGGAATAGAATAATGCTGCCATTTCTAGTGATGTGCAGCAACAGAAATAACTAATGAATCGTTGTTGTCTTTATATATTATATTAAAGTGGTTATTTTACAGGGAAGTGCTTTAACAAAGATCACTGAAGAAATGCAGGGGATCACTTATGCACTGACACTTTTTTTATTATTGCGACAAGGCCATTCATTGCCGGAATGTAACCAGTGTCATCGCAAATTCATGGATGCAGCTCAGTTAAAGAAACATCTAAGAACACATACAGGTATATATTACACACCATTTTTCTTTCAAGGAATGCTAAGACCAACTTGTTGGCTGTGATGGGGTTCACATACCCCATCCCTGGTTGGCAGGGAGATCTCCATTGGGTGTGCAGTAATGTCCTGGCTCCCAGTGAGGAGGTGTACCCCCTAGGAATGGCCACAGGTATTTGTAGCCAGTGTAAAATAGAGGGTCATGTGAGGCAGCCTAAAAGCAATGCCTACTACAAGATGGGCTGCTTTTCTCACAGAGGGAGACGTTCAGAAAGTGCTGGAAGGCTCTTCAGTGGTACAATCCTCGGTGAGGACTGGGTCAGGCTGATGGAGAGCCAGGTGGTGGTAGGAACCTATTGACTACAACCCAAGAACAGAGAAGCCTTCTCCCAGAGTTCTTGAGGGATGGATTATTAGTGAACCTTGTTGACCAGTAAAAGAGTTTATGATGTTTTAATAAACTAGACTTTGAGAGGGGAAATGTAATTTGAAATACATAGGGTGTACGTTGCTTGGAGAGTCAGAGGGCAAGCTGAGGCAGACTGACTCTCCCCTGCTGGTTAAGCATAACCTTCCAAGAAGGTAATTCATGTTGAAGGTCATGTTTGAAAGGTGACTTTTAAAATAATTATAATTCTCTTGTAGGAATTCAGAAAGGGAAAAAGTATATACTATTATTCTAAAAAAGTATTTTGGGCTTACTTGAACAACAGTAGATTCTATACTACCTCAAGATCCTTAGAAATCTCAGTTTTGGACTTCCTGTTTTCCCTACCAATGACACCACAAATACCATAAACAATGAGAACTAAAATAAAGGTTATAATGTAATGCATTTCAAACTGTTATGGTACTTGTGGGTTTTTTTCAGGGTTTTTCTGCCCCTTGGAGTAACGGGAAAGTAATTTAAAATACTGTGCCAATTATACCTTTAAATTGGAATCTGCTGTTAATATTATTACTCTTTTTTCCCTTTTTCTGGAATTTTACAAGCATGTTTTAAATGTAGCAAAGCCTTTGTAATTCGTCTTTAAATCTTCATTGTGGAGGTTTAGATTTGCAAAATTTTCTATTGTAAAATTTAAAATGATAGAAAAATGAAAACATGGTATGCAACTTCAGATTTGTATAACTTCTCATAGTTTCTCTGTCTGTGACAGGGAGAAATTGCTTTTATAAATGATACCCTTAAACATTTGCTTTTTGGAATTCCCTACATATGTATAGTCTGTGTTATTGGGTCAGTGCTTGCTTTCTCATTTTTAGAAAAAGGTATATGCAGGGATTATTTTCATTTTCATGATTGGTTTCAGAGTAACAGCCATGTTAGTCTGTATTCACAAATAGAAAAGGAGTACTTGTGGCACCTTAGAGACTAACCAATTTATTTGAGCATAAGCTTTCCTGAGCTACAGCTCACTTCATCGGATATGAAGTGAGCTGTAGCTCACAAAAGCTTATGCTCAAATAAATTGGTTAGTCTCTCAGGTGCCACAAGTACTCCTTTTCTGTTTGCATGATTGTGGCCTTTGCATTTTCTGTCTAGGACAGCATGGTGTGCTGTTAGAGTAAGACTTGTTGGTAGCACTTCAGTTGTTAGTGGGTGTTGTAGTGCTGCAAATATAGCAAGGGGATGAGTGTGTAGTGAGAAGTAAGAGGAAGAGGCATAGTATCAAGGTCAGGGTTAAAAACAATGTATTTGAGAGATTTTAGCGTTGTCTCCAGAAACGGCAGGCTAGGCATCGGAAATAGCAGCTGAGAGAGGTAAGCTGATTGATTTTAGCCCTTCTCCAAAGGTGAAAAGAACAAGAAAAAAATAACAACCCCTGTTTTTTGGTTGTTGAATGTACTGTCTTGCTGTAATATTTCTGAAAACTTGTGCATGGTGGAAGTTGGTTACATCACTCTTTGTTTGGTTTGGGGTTTTTTAGGCTTTGTGAAAGCTGACAAGCATGGAAATTCAATATTAAGTTTAAAGTTTCTGAAAATTTGCTTCTACTCAGTCTTCAGTTTGCTTTGTTGTGCCTAGATAGTGATGGGAACATGAATCACTTATATGGTGATCCATGACATATTACATGTCTAGAAATATCTAGGCCAGGGACGGGCAAACTTTTTGGCCCGAGGGCTGCATCTGGGTGGGAAAATTTGTATGCAGGGCCATGAATGTAGGGCTGGGGCAAAGGGTTGGGGCGCAGGAGGGGTGTGGGAAGGGCGCAGGAGGGGTGTGGGAAGGGGCTCAGGGCAGGGGGTTGGGGTACACGAGGGGTGCGGTAGGGGGTTGGGGTACACGAGGGGTGCAGGCTCCGGTCCGGCGCCGCTTACCTCGAGTGGCTCCAGGGTGGCAGCGGTGCACAGCAAGGCTAAGGCAGGCTGCCTGCCTGCCCTGGCCTCGTGCTGCTCCTGGAAGTGGCCAACATGTCCAGGAGTGGCGCCTGGAGCTGGCAATCCTGCAGGCCAGATTGAAAGCCCTGACGGGCTGGATCCAGCCCGTGGGCCGTAGTTTGCCCTCCCCTAATCTAGGCACTACAGAGAAATGTTGTTACTTTGCGTTCACTTTCTTTGCTTTGTCAGTTTGGGACATTGCCTTGCTACTATGTGGCTTTTTATCACTGCATTTAATCCTTCTGGCTAGCTCCATGTAAGAAGAGTAATTCAGTAGACAGTAAAATCCCAGTTTACCCAAACTCCTGTTCACTGAAGTTCCATTGTATTCCCTGGAGTTGGCACTGCTTCACTGTGGTCAGTGTGTGTTTATGATCTTGCCGGAATGCAGCCTCTTGGAATGCCATGCTTTCTTACACTAGAAGCATAAGAATTTAACTTCCTTTATTCCTGAATTAGCAAGCATGAATAACTTGCTTTTACACTTGTTAATGTGCACAGTGGTGATTTCTTAGAACTTAATGTAATTATGAGCAGTTAGTCTGACCTACTGGATAAAGCACAGGACTCTGGAGACCTGGGTTCTATTCCAGGCTCAGCCACTGGCCACCTGGGTGACCTTGAGCAAGTCAGTTCACTGCTTTACCTCAGTTTCCCGATCGGTAATATGTAGCTAATGATACTTAAAGTGCTTTGAGATGTACTGATGAAAAGTGCTATATGAGAACCTGGTGGTGGTGGTGGTATTGATTATTAGAGTAATTATAACTTATGAATGTACATCAAGCTATTGTTTTTTGTAGGTGAGAAGCCATTTACTTGTGAAATCTGTGGCAAGTCATTCACAGCAAAAAGTTCTCTTCAGACTCACATCAGAATCCACAGGTACAGTATAGTTTTGCAGTTTATATTTTTTAAAGCTATTTATTTAGGAAGTTTTAATAGGTTTAAAATTCTTGCCATATAAATGTCAAAAATAAAATCATTACAACGGTGAACTTTTGTTTAGAGAAATATACAGTAATATAATGATTGGCTCTCTTTATTTAACAGGTTGTTACCATATTACAGAATGAGCATCTTTACACTACCCAAGACATGCATGATTTTTATTAAATTGAGTGAATCTCTGATATGAATGAGTGAATTGAGTGAATCAACTTCTAGTCCAGTACATATAGTATATTGGTTATCCAATGAGACTAGTAACCATTGCTCCTTAGGTGCACTTACTTCATGTGTGGGTACTGATTGATTACTAAATGCTGTGAATAGCACGTATTTGTATTTTATTAAAATTTAGTAAAATAAAATTTAATTTCCTCATTAAAATCTGCAAAATTTTACACTGATTCAAATATGCTGCACAAAAGTGCAGCGTATTATTAAATTTTATAAATCAATGAATGAGTCCTGTATCATATTTTCATGGTGGCTTTTACATTTTACGTTAGTAGGTAGTATTATGATAACTAATCTAGGCATGCTGTAAGGCTCTCCTCTCTGACAGAGCATTTCCACTATAATTGTCAAGGTTCCATCCCCACCCTGAACTCTAGGGTACAGATGTGGGGACGCGCATGAAAGACCCCCTAAGCTTATTTCTACCAGCTTAGGTTAAAAACTTCCCCAAGGCACAAATCCTTCCTTGTCCTTGGATGGGTACTGCTGCCAGCACCAAATGAGTTAGACAGATTCAGGAAAAGGACCACTTGGAGTTTCTGTTCCCTAAAATATCCCCCCAAGCCCCTTCACCCCCTTTCTTGGGGAGGCTTGAGAATAATATACCAACCAAACCAGATTCTTAAACAGAACTTTATAATAAAGGGGGAAAAAAATAAAAGAAGCACCTCTGTAAAATCAGGATGGAAAGTAACTTTACAGGGTAATCGGATTCAAAACACAGAGGATTCCCCTCTAGGCAAAACTTTAAAGTTACAAAAAACAGGGATAAACCTCCCTCTAAGCCAGTGGTTCGCAACTCTGGTCCACCACTTGTTCAGGGAAAGCCCCTGGCGGGCTGGGCCGGTTTGTTTACCTGCCGGGTCTGCAGGTTCAGCAAATCGCGGCTCCCACTGGTCGCGGTTTGCCGCTCCAGGCCAAAGGGGGCTGCAGGAAGCGGCACGGGCCAAGGGATGTGCTGGCCGCTGCTTCCCGCAGCCACCGTTGGCCTGGAGTGGCGAACCGCAACCAGTAGGAGCCGCGACTGGCTTAACCTGCGGATGCGGCAGGTAAACAAACCGGCCCAGCCTGCCAGGGGCTTTCCTTGAACAAGTGGTGGACCAGAGTTGAGAACCACTGCTCTAAGCATAGGGAAAATTCACAAGCTAAAAACAAAAGATAATCAAAAACATGCCTTATTTACTTACTCTTTTTGTAATATTGAGACTCATTTTAGGAGAAGGAGTTTTCTGACCTGATGCTTCTCTGCTTCCCCAGAGAACTCACAACACAGAGCACAAACAAAGCCTCTCTCTCCCCCATTTGAAAGTATCTTTTTTCCCCATTGGTCCTTTTGGTCAGGTGCCAACCAGGTTATTTGAGCTTCTTAACCCCTTACAGGTAAGGAGGAATTCTAGGATACCCTTAGCTATATGTTTATGACAATAATTGATGTGGTGGTGATGATGTTTTAACCAGAGGAGAGTAGGAAAGTCTCTAAAGTACACTAGTGACCTTGTCATGTAGTTTTAATTTATCTGGGAAGCGTTTAGGTTCTACAGAAAACCCCAGTAAGTTTAAGCCAGGGATTTAGGTTGCATTCTTTAGAATAGATGCGGTTTCTTTCCTAGTTCAGTATTACGAGTAACACCTACAATTTCTGTAGCTGAGAGATTAGTTCACAGAGGGGAAAAAATTCTTTTCAGTTTTATTTGGTACATTTGACAACATTGTGCATAAGCAGTTTCACTATAGTCAGTTTCTCCTGTTGTATTTGTAGATCTCTCTCTCAGCTAAAGAGGAGGAAAAAAAATGAAACAAAATGAGTCTGACGCCTCACTTGAAGTTGTCCGGGTTAACACTGTTTTGTTATTAGGTTGCTGATCTATTACAGAACATGTTTCTTTAAAGTCATGCACTGTTCCATTATAAGGTTGTTTGGCCCACGCGGCGCTCCTGCCAGGGAGTGGACAAGCAGGTGAAACGGGGCAAGCCCCTTTGCCCCGACCCTGCTCCCCAGCAAGAGTGCCGGGTGGCTGGAGTGGGGTTGGGGCAAGCCCCTGTGCCCAAACCCTGGTACACCCCTGCCTCAACCAAGCTTCACAATCCTCATTGGTGAATACAGTATTAAGTTGGTTGTTTATAATTATTTAAAACTAATACTGTATATGTATATAATGTCTCTTGTCCGCTGAAAATTTTTTCCCTGGAACCTAATCCCCCCCCCCCCCCCCCGTCCCCCATTTACATTAGTTCTTATGGGGAAATTGGATTCACTTAAAGTAGCACTTTTCAGGAACCTAACTACAATGTTAAGCGAGGAGTTACTGTACAGCTATGTTTTAAAAGTCATGTATTCTTGGTTATCACAGATCCCTTGTTAATTTGAGGTATCAGCCCTTCCACCTGAAATATATGCTATGTATCATGACATCAATCTGCTTTTATGTTTTTTCACTTTAAAAACACAATGTATCGGATTAATTTTAATAGTAAACATGCATCACTATTCAAATGATAGATGCACAATTTCTAATTTTGTATTTGATTACTGCATGGGTAAATGTTACGAAGGTTCAGAAACCTTTTGCTATAAAGCTTGTCAAATTCCTTTGGAAAACTTGGAGAGATTCCATCTAATATGGGGCAGAGACTGTCTTTATTTTTGTATATTTTATAGCATTGAGTATACTGTCAGCACTAAACAAATAGTGATACCAAAATATTTCTACTATAGGCTTCTCTATGAGAGCAGAAGCAAGTTACTACAATCATAACTGTTACTTGACCATTTTCCTGTATAGCTTCTGTTGAGACAGTTCCTTAAATTAACCCCTGTAGTAAGTCTATAGCAGAGTTTCTGAACATAATACCGGTTTATATAAAATGCAAACTATTACATTTGGCCTTAAGTGTTTGATATAGATTATAATGCCTTGTTGTAATCTTATGGTGTTCAGATATTAGTGCTTGTTTTGGCATTAAAACCTCAAAAGTGACATTTTTAGGATTTACTGTGTGCAGTCTGACCAATTTATTTCCAATATGGAAGTGTAAATATTTCATGTTCTTTACAGTATTTTCAAATGTGTGTTAAATTATACAATGTTTAATTTGAATTCTGCTTCACATTTTAAAGGAAAAAAATGCAATAAATTGTGGGGAAAATTAGGCAGTGAGCTGGGGGAAGGCTTATTGTCGATAGACTTGATAAACTGTCTTAGATTTTAGACTGATTTTTGCAGAAATATCTTAAGATTGGGTTTTTTTAAAGGAACTGTCAAACCCTGCTTACATGTTAAATTCCAGCATTGATGCTACCTGATTTTTTTTTTTTTTTTTTTTTTTAAGATAAAAGTACACAGCACTAACAATGTCACATGGCTTGCAGTCATATGGACGTAAGGTATCGCATAAAGGAACCTCATAAAAATTGAGACCATTGAAAGGCTATTATGAGGCGCACAATAAAAAACCCATCAGATTACAGCAAAGCCTGTTCTTTTCGTCGTAGGCCACGTGTGTCCGGAAATTAGGTTTTAGATATTTTCAGTCAGCATTAAAAACAGTTGAAGTGACGAGATAAATTCAACTTCAAATTAATCCTTAATGATAGATGCTAGTAAAGATGTAAAATAGATGAATTCTCTTATCACTCCAGTTTTTGTGCTCTCCATCCTTTTGTCAAACCAGGGCTTCGTAAACCTCAGTATTTTTGTATGAAGGCAGTCCTGTTAACTCTTGAATGTGAACAAATTAGGGAAAACTTTGTCACACTATTGTGCAATTCTTAAAAGTAGAATCCAGAAAATGTAGCATTGAATATTTTTCTTACATGACTGCCTGTAAGCACTACTACAGTATAGCAGAGATTATTATTATTATTATTATTTATTAGTGGTGATGGTGGTATTATATTTATTATGAGTCATTTGTGAGGTAATACCTTGCAGAAAGTAGTAGTCTCAGAATTAGTATTTCTGATTAAGTAAAATATTCTCTTACAGAGGGGAAAAGCCATATTCTTGTGGTATATGTGGAAAATGTTTCTCGGATTCCAGTGCAAAGAGGAGACACTGTATCTTACACACAGGCAAAAAGCCTTTCTCCTGCCCAGAGTGTAATTTGCAGTTTGCCCGCTTGGACAATTTGAAGTCTCATTTGAAAATTCACAGCAAAGAAAAACAATTGCAAGAATCAAGCACTGCTCCTAGCAACAGCAATAGCTCAGAGGAGGTCAGAAACATTCTTCAGCTGCAGCAATATCAACTGTCCACGTCTGGAGGACAAGAGATTCAGTTGCTTGTCACAGATTCAGTACATAATATAAACTTTATACCTAGTCATAATCAAGGTATTAGTATTGTTACTGCTGAGAACTCCCAAAATATGACAGCAGGCCAGGCTGCTAATCTTACGCTAATCACTCAACCACCACAACAGCTGCAGAACTTGCTTCTTGCAGCTCAGCAGGAACAAGTAGAACAAATCCAAAGTATCAATATGATGGAGAACCAAATAGAGACTACACAATCTGAGCAAATGCATGTCATCACTCTTTCAAAGGAAACACTAGCACATCTTCATGCCCATCAGGGGCAAACTGAAGAACTTCATCTAGCAACAGGAGCTCAGCACATGCAGCTGACCCAGGAACCTAGTCGTCAGTCTCATACTAACCAAGATGCAGTCCAGCCCCATCAAATTAGTGAAGAACAGAACCAAAATGTACACATTTCTGAATCACATCCGGCATCTTTGTCCATAAACCACCCATCTCATGAGCATCAGATTCAAGGTCAGGCTTTTTGAAATACAAGTTAGCATTGCTTCCTTTTAAATGCTCGTTTGCCTTCAGGGAACTGGGCTGAAATTTGTTTTTCATTCAGGCAATGACCTACGCATATCACATTTCATTTGCTGCAGTAGATTATCTATTTGAAGTTATATTTTTTGGTGATCTTGATAGATGGCTTTGTTTCCTTTATTTTAATCCATTTATTTTTAGGGTTTTATTACTCTAGATGTCTGCTGATCAACAAGCATAACTTCTGTGTAGAGGGTTAAAATGACTATCTGAACTATAAATGTCAAGGTAACCCATATTTTTTTTTCACAACATTGACACCACATGTCTTCTAGTTAATGAGCTTTCTCTTTCTAGGTAAATGTATAATTTTCAGTATGACCATTTAAGTGACCATTCCCTTAAGTGCATTTTAATTCACTGAATACCAAATTGCTCATGCTTTTGATTGAAATTTGATGCACTCATAGACTGGCTCTGGTTCACTGTTTCTTTTTACTGCGTTGTACAATTCCTGCTCTCCAAACGAATGTTTAAATCAGTGCATTTAATGTAGAGGCAGTGAGATGTAGTGGCTAGATGGACTACTGGAAAGCTAGAGTGCTATTCTTGGTGCTGCTACTGACTTGTGTGACCTTGGGCAAGTCACTTAACCTCTCAGTGCCTTAGTTTCCTCATCTACAAAATGGGGATAATGCTTAACCACCTCTGCAAAGCACTTTGAAGATCTTCTGATGTAAGGCCCTATAGATGTGCAAAGTGTGTGGTTGGGTTTTTTCCCCTGACAAGACTGTCTTAGTTTAGGAGCCAGTTTATATTTTAAAATCATTATTTTTATATTTCGAAAGCAGAATGTCACATTACTTTTAATATAAGGTAATATTTGTTCTTTGTTATGACTGAAATAATGAATAAAATCACTCCAGAACATGAGCTACAAAATGGCGCATCTCTTAATAGATTTTAAAAGTAGTGGAACTTTTTGTTGACTAGATTAGATGTGTGCAGTTTACATTACTAATGCCTGACTTCTAGTGGAAAAGTGCTGAAATAGCATTGAAAATACATCCCAGAAAGAAAAGCTGGGGAAGAGCTTGGCTCTACAGCTTGGGGTTCAGTTACTAATGATGGGTTACTTATTGCACTGGTACATAAAAATCCTGATAAAATGTCATATGGCCAGCTACAGCAGTTTGAAGGTTGAGGCTGAGGTTAAAAATGTTATGTGATTTAAATAGGTATCTTGTATTTCTAGTTTTAAACGTGACAAAACCCAACTTCTATCCTTATTGTTTACATGGGATTTTTTTCAAAGGAAGTTTCCTATGTAACTGGCTGTGTGCACCGTTGGCTAGACAGAAAGCCATTGGTATGAATTTTCATTTCTGGGCGTTAGCTATCTTGCAGATACAAAGCATTCAGCTAGCTACTGAGAATGCGTTACTGTAATATGGTTAAAAAGTATATCAGTTTCTCCACGGATCTGTACCAACTTTTAAGTAGGTTGATGTGAGGAGAGGAGACAATGGGGGAGAGGGGAAACCAATTTTAAATCTAAAAATGACTTTGTTTTACAGTTGGAGGTTAAATAGCTATTGTGTTGATTAACCTGATTCATTACCTAAATTCCCTCCCAAAATGGAGAAGTACTGTCTATATATGTAACATAGAAAACCATTAACAAAAGATAAATAGAATATATTGTAACTATAATCCAGAAGCTAAAGATTTTGATGTTGCAAGAACATAAAGAAAAAATAAAATTAAACTATCTGTTTTGTCTGGGGAAAATATTATTTAACATTTAAGTCTTTACATAGTAAAATAGTTCTGCTTGTTATACCATTGCAAAATAAAATTTGAATGAGTCTTAAATATTGTAGCATATATAAAATGTTGTCTCAAGTTTTCACTTTACAGTTGTATGGTGGCTGCTATAGAGAAGCATTAGCAACTTTTATAAGCTACATTTCTGGTTTATTCAGGATTGAGACATGCTTATTATTTATGTAATTACCTAAATGTTTTGCAGAGCAAACTGGTCACAGCTTTCTAAGATTCAGTTCTAGAAGACTGTATAATGAAAAAACCCTGGTTATTCAAGTTCAAGAAAGAGCATATATATTGAGTTTTTAATCTTTCAATTGGTGGCTAAAAAGTCACTCGTGATAGTACAATCTTATGGTAGTGGTTACTAGATATTGCCTGCATAAGAAGAGGGTTTCATTTTTTATTGCATACACTTCAATAATTTGTACAACTAAAAACTAAGCAGGCTATGTAAAGACCACCATCTGTGGCTAGCAGGACAGTGATTCTCACTAATTTTGCATTCTTCGTTGCTTTAAAAAAATTGCTGTCAGAATCCTTCTTTTTTTCCTGCCTGTTCCAGAGAATGGGAATCCATGTTTTTCTCATTTCCTTTAATTCTACCTTTCTCTTTACCACTAACTTTTTAATAGTAATTTTTACCCTGGAAAGAAATGAATACAACTTACTGTGTGTGTGCCTGAATCTTTTTGAAAATAATGCCTAATGCATTTAACTCTTGGACCTGGAAAAAGCCCATTCAGCTTCAGTTCTCAGTTCAGAATGACTTCCTGGTTGTACCTGGCTAATGAGAAAAATCAAATTGCTCCAAATATTTCTGCTGTCAAACTAATACTTGTTTTTATATGACTTAACTACCTTACATAGAGTTCAGTCTTGGTAAGAAGTGAGGGAGACTCTCCATGTTAAGATGAGATTTTGGTTTTGGGATGTTGTCAGTATAGGTCAGTATTCCCATAATTAAGCTAAATGCAATATACATAGTTACAACACTAGGGCATAGAAGATTAGAATTCCATTTTGAGATTCTGATCTGTGCTAAAACCACTCTAACTTAAGCTTTTGTTTTGTCGTCCTTTTCACAACTTTGCCTCTTTAAAGGGACACTGTCAGATTTTATATATTTTTAAAATGTCCTTACATGCAACTTCAGGTTCAAGCCTTTCACCAAGAATCAGTCCTATACAGTTCAAACACAGCTGGCAGTAGAAGGTGCCTGTTGCTATTACTCCATTTGTAAAATATCTAGCACACTTGGATGCTATGTAAATAGTAATACTTGTACTGGTAGAGATTGTCCTTCAAATTTCAAGCTTTTAAAAAAAATTCTTCATCTTGGAAGACTCTCCAGGTGAAAATTAAATATAAAATGGTGCTTTCACTGGCAGCAATTCTCCTACTATTTTAAGGTTGCGTTTGAGCTATTGTTCAGTGTGTATTTTCTACTAATTTGCCACTACAGTCCGTGCAGCAGTAGCACAGGAGAATTTCTTTAATATCATGGTCAAAACAAAAAGGTTTCAAGAATATACTATGCTTGGGGGTGTGTGTATAGTTCCATTTAGGAACACAGAAATTACCAGATCAGAAGAGAAGGCCCTCTAATACAGCATCCTGTTTCTAACAGGATTGGGTACAAGAATGGAATAACATCTCATTAATGAAAGTTACATTCTAACCTCCATTATGTAGAGGTTTGCTTTTAAAACTCTGGTATTCTTGTTTACTTATTCTTTCTTTTGTAATTCTGGATGTTCTCGTTACCTATCTAAATGATCAGTTTATTCTTGAATCCCACCAAGTCCTTGACTTCAGGGATATCCTATGAAAGTGAGTTCCACAGGCTAATTTTGTTGTCTGAAAAGTATTTCAGTTGAAATGTGTTGCCTGTCAATTTTATTGACTGTCCTCTTGTTCTTGCATTATAAACATCTGATCTACCTTCTCTCTACTTTTCATTCTTTTAAAAATAAGTACTGTACAGCACAATTTCATCAGTATCCACAAAAAAGCAGGTTGCCAAGGGAAATTTTTTTTGCATATGTAGATGTTTATGCCAGTAAACAATTCAGACCTATACGTTACTATTTATAGGCTTGCAAGACAAAGAATGCCAGGTATGCCATTCTCTATTCTCAAAATGGATCGTTGGAATGTATTGAGCTGAATTTTTTTCCTGTGTCATCCCCATTTAACATTGCTATTTGGCAAAGTGCTGAAATGGATTGTACAGTATGTAATTTGAAAAATTATGTGAGTCTGAAAAGTGCTATATAAAATGAGATTCTGTCTATTGCTTGTAACATAGAGGGAGCAAGTATTTGTAAAAACAATAATAAAGGTCTTGTTTATAAGACTAGAAATTGTCATACTTTGGTAATGCACAGATAATGGTTACGCTTGTTTGGTTAATTTGTTACCCTTTCTCTGTGTTCTTTATTCTTTTAATTTAAAAGGGGGGAAAAACAGTATGTCAGTAACTATAATTACATCGTGTGTGTGTGAGATAATTTTATCTATCTTGGTCACTGCCCTCGGCACCAAGAGGGTCATGTTGTTTGTTGGGCTGCCGTATCGCTGGTGCTGAGGTGGTTGCCAGCACTGAGGCCTAAGCGGCAGGTGGAGATATTGGTGGCATCTCTGGTGCCAGCTACTGCTAGGTGGCGAAGGATGCTGATGTTACTGACGCCGACCTGGATCTCAATGCCTGGCTCTGACCCTAGGCTTGATGATAGGCCCAGCGAGTCCAAAAGGGCCACTGAGCTGGTGGTTGCCATTGAGTTGGCCACCGTGCAGGAAGAGGCTGGAGGTGTCACCAAGATCTAGATCTGCTGCTGCTGGACCTATCTGAACGATAGGACTCCGCCTCAGGCTCCGAGGTCTCCAAAAAGAAAGACCACGGAGGAGCGGTACTGGGTGGTGCCAATGAGTGGTGCCTGGCCTCTGGGTATTCGTGCGATCCCCCCATGTGGGCGGCTGGCACCTGGGAGTGGCTCAGCAGAGATCGGGAGAGGGGTGATGGTGATGGCATCGCTGGCTTGCCCCTAGGTGGGATAGGTGGTCAGGTTATCACCGGTGCCTCATCCCTCCTTGGAGAATGCGGTGCCATCAGGCGAATAAGGTCCAGCACTGCCTCAAAAGTCTCTGGAGTGGAGGGGAGTTGCATGTCCTGGCCACGACGGTCTGGAGAAGGGTAGTGGGCTGGGCTGGACTTGACTGGACCCCTTGCGGGGCAGCGTTGACAAGCCCCTGGGAGGAACCGGGCCCAAAGTAGACTGAATGGGCTGAGGTCTCCCTGCTGCTGGCTTCTTAGGCTTAGGAGGGGAAGAGCAGCCCCTCTCCTGCCTCTTTTTCTTCTGAGGCACTGAAGACAAAAATTGGCACCCGCCAGAAGTCTTATGTTTAGCGCTGTGTCAGTGCCAGGAGTCCTTAGCCTCCTTTCTTGGTGCCAGCTCGCACGCTATCAGTGCTGGTGCGCTGCACACAGAGGAGGAGGCGCTCGGAATGGGCTCTGCCAACTCGGGGTCAGACTACGGATGGAGGGCTGCTTCCTTGAGGAAAATTCAGAGTCTCTGCTCATGATCCTTAAGGGTCCTTGGCTGAAATCCCTTACAAATGCAGTACTTGTCCTTTTGGTGACTCCTGCCAAGGCACTTCAGACAAGAAGTGTGCGAGTCACTTGATTGGAATGGACATGAACTACACATCTTGAAGAACAACAGTTACGACATGGTGAGTAACTGTTTTTTACTTCCTGTAATGCAGTTATCTACTTTGAAATTACAGGAAGACCGTCAACATCTTAGAAACCTCCAGTAAAAGGTAGAGATGTTTTTTTAAAAAAAAACTGGATCTGTTTCTAAAATAATAGTGAATTGAAAAAGTTAGACTGTGCAGAGTTGAAGCACTGTGCGATTTTATATACTATATTAACTGTATTACAACACTTAAGCATAAACAAGGTTAGGCCGGAGCATCAGCCATACCCACCGAGCTTTAGCCTCGCTTGGCTGAAGGCAGATTTGTTAAATTAAGTTTTTAGAAAGATGCACCAGTTCGTGAACATTCAAAATGGAGACTTGTGTAATCTAAACAAAAGCAAATGTGTGTAAATTTAGTTTTTAATATGCTATTCAATGCTAAATTGGATCCCTCCTTAAGTTTCATTCTTGGATATATGCCGGTTACCAGGATGTTACCTGGTAACAAGACACCATGGTTCCAATGTGCAGCTTTGGTCAATAAAAGTGAATCCTGCAGAAATGGAAAAGTCGACCCCACCAAATATTGATCTGTGGCTGTTACATGGCTAACCTCACAGCTAACAAATAATTGGTATGCGGCAGAAAGGAAATGCCAAAAAATTCAAAGCAATTTGGGCTGAATTTTTAGAGATCTATGATTAACACAGACCCTGAAGATAGATATCTTCCCCCTTCTTTTACCCTAACCATCTTCATTTACTTTTGTGTAGTATTATGAATCTGGTATTTTGGTATATTTGTTGTATTGGGGGAAAAAAATATATTTTTTTAAAGGTCCAGTTGGCTTCAGCCTCTATAGCACAGTTATGTATTACTCTGTGACACATTAAAAATGTATAGGTCTAGGTCAGATGTTCTCAAACTGTGGTCCACAGACCACCAGTGGTCTGCAAGCTCCATTCAGGTGGTCCGCGGATAGTTCCCTCTAAGGTGCGCACCTGGGTAGCTGCACATGAGAGAATGAAGGGCCACCCACCTAATTAATGCAGCCACACAGGCGTGGCTCCACTAATTAGGTGCTTGGACCCTGGAGAAGACACACATGTAAAGTGAGGTATTGGCCTTGGGGGGGAATAGAAGGTAGGTGGGGGGGGGGAATTGGGGTGAGAAGAGGGGGTGGGGGGTGTGCAAGGCTGTGGCAGCCAGAGAAAGAGGTGATTTTCCCCAGCTCCAAGGCTGCGGCTGCCGGGGAGAGATGGCCCTCCTTCCCAGCCCCAGCTCTGTGGCTGCTATGGTGGGGGCGAGAGGGAACATCCATAGCATTAAAAAGGTAAGACTACTGATATTAAAATATGAGTTGTGTGCTTTTGTGTGTAGAACAAAAAAATATTTTTATTAAGGGTTTTTTTATATAGTGCTTTTATCTAAAGTACTTTACAATAGTTAATGGTACAAACAACATTTGGAAAGATCATTAAGTGGTCCGCTGAGACCTTCAGCAATTTTCAAGTGGTCCACGGGGAAAAAAAAGTTTGGGAACCACTGGTCTAGGTGAATATGGATTGTTTTTCATATTTGACTCATTTTGTTTTACTTCTGTTTTAGAATTTACCTGAAGCTGCCACAAAACTTCCAGTATATCTCAGAAACAAAGCAGTCTTGCCACTTAAATTCAACATACCACGCTCTGAAGGGATCTTGGCTGTGTAGTCATCCTATAGAGGAAAAAAAGGTATATTTTTAAATGTGTTAAAATCCTAGTATACACAAGGCAGTTAGCTGGGCAAGATAAAACCTAGACATACCCTACTAACCTCAACATGTTAAAACTACAGCTACCTTGTATATAGTAGGATTTAGTAAGTTTAACATGTTAAAGATGCTTTTTTTTTCCTCGTGAAGACAAAACTTACGTTCCACCACGTAATGGGAAGCCATGTTGTCACACTAAAACTAAACATCGTGCAGTGAAAAACTAATTGAAGACAGGAACCAAAAATTAACTTTTTGCTTACTTATAAAAAGTAACAATTTAGAGGTGCAAAACTAAATTGCTGTAATCTAGGTTTAAATCCAATATAAATATCCACCCACTTTAACCACATTGGTTTAACATCACACCTTCAGTGTGCAACTTTTGGTGTAGGTCCACTTCTGAGAAAAATGGCCATAATCTTCCACTCAGGCATCCCTCTCCACAGCTGCCAGGATCTTCAGTCAAGGCAACAAACTTCATGATCAACATGGACCATTGATACTGATTTTCAACAAAACTTGGAACATTGGGGAAGTTCTAGAGGCCTAGAAGAAAACTAAAGCTGTGCCAATATTTAAAAAGGGTAAATGGGAGATGATGCAGGTAATTATAGTCCTGTCAACCCAACATTGACCCTTGGCAAAATAATGGAATGGTGATATGGAACTTAATAACAAAGATAATATAATCAATACCAATTATCACTACCTGCCCTTTCTTGGCGTGGTACACCTTATTCAACACCAGTGTCTGAGTTGCTCATACAGCCTTTTATGCCCTCTAATCTTCCTCTCAGGATGCTTGCCTATAAATATCAGATGATCCTGACAGCTTTTCTTAACTTTATTTCAAAGGTCTTGCATCTCTTCAGAACGCACTGACTGACTCTCTGTCTTCTGGGTTTGAAAAACTACTAAACTTGTATTTAACCAGATTAAACAATTCGGTTCAGTCACCCTTCTCCTTCTTATTCCACTGAGGAAAGTGTTTTCTTATAAAAGCCCAACGGTGCTTCCCTTCCTAATTCCATGACTGCCTCTCTGATCATGCTGTTCATCTCCTCAGAAGTCAGTCTGAGGATATTTCAACTTCAGATACCCCAGAGTTCCAAATGAGCAGTCTTGGTGGAGCTTCCATCTAGGTGTCCAAGCCTCTGTGTCTCCATGTACCCAGTGGCATATTTGTTTTGGTATTCATCCCACAACATACCTCATAATACAATTTCTCTTAAGTTATCCTGTAACAACATCTCATAACAAACCATTTCAAGTTAACGTATGCCCTTCTGCACACCAATCAATGTGGTTTTGTGGAACATAGATCTTCTCAACCCAGCTTTTTGTATGAGATTACAAATTTGCTAAAGGTAATGTCAATGTAATTTACTTGGATTTCTTTAAGGCATTTGACTTGCTACTGCATAACGTTTTGATTAAGAAACTAGACTGATATAAAATCAACATGGCACATAGTAAATGTATTAAAAACTTGCTGAATGATAGGCCCCACTATAATTGTAAATGGGAAACTGTCACTGTGCAGGTGTGTTTCTAGTGAGATCCTACAGAGTTTGGTTCTTGGCCCTATGCTATTTAACATTTTCATCAATGACCTGGGAAAAAAAACAATTACTGCAAGTTTGCAAATGACAGATATTGGTGGAGTGGTAAATAATGAAGAGGACAGATCACTAATATGGAGTGATTGGGATTGGTAAACTGGGCACAAGCAAATATACATTTTAATACAGCTAAATGTAATTGTATACATCTAGGAACAAAGAAGGTAGGGCCCTACTAACAGGATGGGGGACTATCTTGGGAAGCAGTGTCTCTCAAAAGCACTTGGGGGCCATGGTGGATAATTAACTGAATGCGAGGCTGGGGCCAGGAGGGATAATACAATCTTTGGATGTACAAAGAAGGGAATGTTGAGTTATTTTACCTCTGTATTGGCATTGGTGCAGCTGCTGCCGGAATATTGTGTCCAGCTCTAGTTACTCTTGGGGGAATTTGGTGCCACTGCGTGTGGGCATAATTAATGAGCCAAGCATTTTTTTAACTTTTTGCACAGAAAAAAGCTTCTGCTGGAATGTTGCTGCAGTTCTGTCTTTTGCCCACCAGAGGGTGCTGTGGTGCTAGAACAGAGCACCAGCTCCCAGCAAAAAATAACTTCTGCAGTTCTGCCTTTTGCCCACTGTGGGCACTGTGGCACTAAACACAGCAGCTGCTCCCAGCCAGCTAGGGAAGAGAAGGAGCCTGCCTTCTTCACAACACTTGTCGGGCCAGGTCAGGAGACAGGGGCTATGGGGAGACAGACAGCGTGGGGCTGCTGAGGGGTCAGACAGGCTCATAAGGGCTACTGGGGGAGGACAGACCGGGGCAGGAGCTGAATGGAAGTGAAGATGCAGGGTCACATGGGCAGAGGTGGTGCGGAGCTACAAGGGATCGGCAGTGGCTGAGTAGGGGCAGAGAGACACATGGGCTGCAGGGACACAGGAACAGGGCGGTGGGAGTGGAAGGACACGTGGATGGAGGGAGTGAGGGTGGAGGGACACGTGGACAATCGTGTTCAAGGACAATCGGGGTGCAGGGATACATGGGGATGGGGCAGATGTGCCTGACTGAATGGGAGAGGGTAGGGGTCAGCCAGGGACTGCGTGGGGGAAGCTCCCTAATAGTCCTGTTTCTCTTCCCCTCCCCCCCCCCCAAAAAAACAAACAAACCTGTTCCATACTTTTCCCACTCCCACCCATCCACCTTCCAAGTTCACACCCAGACTCCTTACCAGCAATTACTTTTCTCTCCCTCAGCTCCTCCATTACCCCTGACTCTACAAAACCTTTGCACTGCTTCTGAGGGGTGAGAGAAATATGGTTCTGTATTGAAGTTTAAATGAATTATTACTCAGAGTTCTGTATTAATATGCCTAGTAAGGAATCTATTTGTCAAAAAACATTTTCTGAATCTTTGTTGTCTCTATTATTAGACATACTTGCTGACGGGTATTTTGAAATAAATGACAAAAAATAATTGCAACTGGTGTGATGTGTTGTTTTGACAAAATATGCAAAATTTTGCAGAATTTGAAAATATTGCATACAGAATTTTTAGGTTTTTTGGTGCAGAATTCCCCCCAGCATTGATGCCCACAATTCAAGAAGAGTTTGGAGAAGAGCCATGAGAATGACTAAAGGATTGGCGAACATGCATTATAGTAAAAGATGCATGTCAATCTGTTTAGCTTAACGAAGAAGTTTAAGGGGTATTTTGTTCACAATATACAAGTATGGGGAACAGAAATTTGATGAGAGGGATCTTCAGTCTAACAGATGAACATATAACAAGATCTAATGGCTAGAAGGTGAAGCTAGACTGGGGTGGGCAAACTTTTTGGCCTGAGGGCCACATCTGGGTATGGAAATTGTATGGCGGGCCATGAATGCTCACAAAATTATTCATGTTCAAACAGGGACAACACAAGTCTGTTTCAAAATCAACACTATTAAAATAATTCTGTTGAACAATGCACTGTTAAAAAATTACATTACTGAGCTGTTTATTGATTTTACCACACAATTTTGCTCCTGTCTGAACACACATTTTATGTTAGCTAAAACTTTTCAGTGTACTGCACTATGTAAAAGTTTGGTTGTTTTTTCACATTTATTGCTGATTTCTTTATGATTTGTAATTAGCTTTGTCAAATCATCAGTGTTTCTCCATTTGACTGAAGCTAAAATAGTTTGATTATATTTTGGTTATTGCCACAAAGTAAAACATAATTAAACAATGTTGTTAATCAGTTTAACTCTGAAGAAGAGCTATTCAAATAAACTTTTAATCTGGCCCTTGAGCTCCATTGCCCTGCTCCGGCTATGGAGTTGGGTTGGGGGCTTGTCCCGTTCCACCAGCACAGCGCCTGCCAGGGAGCAGGGCACAGGGCCTTCCAGGCGCACTGAAGCAGGGCAAGCCACCAACCCCACTCCCCAGCCAGAGCAGGGGAATGGAGCTCAACGGCTGGATTAAAAGCTCGACGTGGGCCAGACGTGGGCCAGACGTGGGCCATGGTTTGTCCACCCGAGCTAGACAAATTCAGACCAGAAATGAGGCACAAGTTTTTAATAATGGGGATAATTTACCGTTGGAAAATTTAGCAAGGATTGTGGCAGATTCTCCATCACTGGAAGTCTTTAAATCAAGATTGGATGTTTTTCTGAAAGATATGTTGTAGTTCCAACTGGAATTAATTGAGCGAAGTTCAACAGCCTATGCTATCAGGAGGTCAGACTCCTAGAGGATCATAGTGGTCCATTCCGGCCTTATTTGAATCTGTGAACTAGACCTTGTGGCAGCCTTTGAAACTAACATTATCGGCATGGACATATGAGCCTGATTATTGCAATTAGGAGAATATCAGCACATGATACCAGCTTAATCACTGTGCCTAGTCCCTGACAGTGATCTGAGAAAATTGAGGACTCACTATTTGGCAGTCCTCTTACAATTTGTGAATTCTCTTCCTTCTTTCTAACTTTGAATCTTCTGTCAGGAGGTACAGTTTATAATTATCAATCTGGCCAGCCTGAGGTTTTATTATACCACATAGCTATGTACTATGCATTCTGTTGGCATATGCAGCATCTACACTAGGAGGCACTGCTGATATTGCTATACTGGCAAATCATATGTAGTGCAGACAAGGTCTCAAACAGAACTTTACAGTTTCAAAATCTAGTATAAATATTAGCTAATGAATCCTTCCAACACTCCTATCAAAGTCTGACTGGACTGTCTGTCCAGCTATAGTTTTCAGTAGTCCCCCAATTCAAGGGTATGCCACTTCCTGAATGACTGGTAAGGGAACTCAGGCCTGCCCACTGTGCATTCCAGCCTAGGGACCATTCAGTCAACAGCCAAGGTTTGCTCTACCCTATTGCTTTTTCCCTAGGTTGCCTCCTAGTCCACCTCTATCAAGCTTCTTTCTCCACCACCCCTCTGCATAAACCCTTCTTCCCAGGACTGCTTCCTTCCTGGCTTTCCACCTTTTCCTGCTCTTAAGTCCAGAGAGTGACTGCATACTTCCATTCTGTAGCCGCCTCCTATCCTTGCTTGCTGGTCTTATGCCAGCCCTGCCTGCTCCTGCCACTGGGCTCAATCCTCAGTCAGTGTTTGCCTCTCAAGCCTGACTCCCCTCAGGTGTGGTTCAAAGGGGCTAAGAAATTTGATAGGCCACATTAACCCTTTCCAGGCCATTGTGAAATGAACACACCTCATAGAAGCACTTAGATACCATGATAATAGAAGCGATATAAATACTTAAGACAGGTAAATTTTCTTGTTTGACTTCTAAAAGATGATTTGAATTTAACTGTCCAAATAGTAAAAGGTGGGTGCACATACCCATATAGTCACCTAACCTCCATAAGTGGGTCTGTTTTAATTATGGGTAGAGGTTTTAGTGGGAGATCTCTCTCTCTCTCTCTCATGGGAAGAAAAAGTAAACATTCTATTTCTATTGATTTGTCTTTATTTACCTTTTCATTTTTGTGTGTGTGTGTGTCCATCGTGGTACTATTTTTTTTTTATTTCATTTGCTGATGGACTATCCTAGCTATGTGTTGTGCACCTCAGTCACTTTGGCACATTTGTAAACTCCACCCAAGGAGACCAATGTAGGATGCAGTTAAAGATCTAGCACTGTGTTAATAAAATGCCCAGTGAAAGTGGTGCACTCATAAACGATCCCTCCTCCCTGCACAGCACTAGGATATGTATATGTACGTGCAGGCGGAGTTTCTATCTGTAAGGCTTGTAGTACAACTTGAAGCTGCGGAGCACTAGCCCTGTGATTGGAGTTGCTATGGTGAGCAGAATTCTGTTTACACTCCCTCCTCCAGCTGACCTGGAGTGAGGCTGGACAGCCAGCAGAGCAGCAGCAACCAAAGGAGGAAAAACCAGGAGACTGTGTGCGCGGTCGGGTGAGGGTGCCATGGGTCCCCTGCAATTGCAGCAGTTGACGGTGGTCGGGTTTCTCAAAGAGCCTGTGTTCCACGTGGCGAAGTGTACAGCAGAGGTAACTCCTCCCAGGCCATTGTTGTAGCAGAAGAAAGCACAGTCTGAAATTCTTCCTTTCTGTTTCTGCTTCCTAGGGGCTCTAGGGACAGGAGATTGCAAAAATCGTGGCCGGCATTATTGTTAAAATCAAATACAAAGCAAATTAGAAGACTGTCTGTGGTCCTAGATATTTTTATGAAATTAATATTTAACATTCCACATTTGGTTCTCTTTTCGAGTTTATAAATTAATCTCATGTATGCATTTATAATGATACCAATGTGAAGGGAACTACTTATTGGTCATACAGTTTTTTGTTGTCAAGCATGTGGTACTTAGGATCCTTCAATTGTTTGTTCTAAAGTATTTATTGCATATTGTGATGCCACACAGGATTTAAAATATAATGAAACACCATCTGACTTGCTCTGCAACCCTAGGCAAGTCAGTTAACCTTTCCTTGTGCTTCAATTTCCCCTACTGTAAAATGAGAGTAAAAATACCTACCTTGCTGGGGTGTTGGGAGATTTAGATCCAGGTCTTTGGTCATATCCAAGCAGCACGCAGTGCAGTTTAGGATGAGATGTGCAAATGTGACCTTTTGTTACTCTAATCCTAAACAGGCTGGCTGCTGAGCTTGTCCCTCATCTTTATTTAGAGCAGCCTAAATATACCAGCTGCAGATACAGCTGTGGCGAAAAGGTACACCCTGTCCATGTTCATTTTTCCCTGGCCACAAACGCTAATGCGGGAACAGAGAGTGGGGGCTGAGTAGAACCCTCCTACACTGGGATGATTCCCCAGTGCCCAGCTACCCTGGCTGTAGGGCCATGATCTGTGTAAAGCACTGCAGGATCTAGACCTTTAATTTGTTCATGTTTGTAATACATTTTGAGATTCTTAGATGGAAGGTAGTATAGAAATACAAATTATTATTGAGACATTGCAAACCAGCCTGAATAAAGGTCTAGAAGATATACTCGTGGAAAAAATTCTGCACTCCAGCAGATGAGCCTAAATGGCCTAATGGGAATGTTCCATATCTAACTTCTACTGTACTGTTCATAAAATGATAGAGGCAACAAGAACTAGAATTCAGGATCTCCCAAGTTCTAATCCTCACTGTGCTCCTGATTCACTTATGGCTTTGGGAATGATCTTGCAAGATGCTTAGCATTTTCAACTCCCTATGAAGTCAAGAGCAACTGATGATGCTCAGACACACAATGTCTCTGTGGCAGTTTCCCCATCTGCTTATCCTCCCTCCCTAATTGGGGTAGTGTGAGTATAACTAGTTAATGTTTGGAAAGCAGCCGCTTTTGCAAATGCTAAAAAACCTCTTAAGTTTAAAATACTAATTTAAAACAGTTTGTGTAGTCTTATGTAACTGTCGGGAGCTATGTTACACGTGTGAAAAAACTGTCATGAAATAAACTAAAACATAGTGCCTGGATTCTAATCTGTTTAGTTAAGAGAATACAAAATATAAATGAGAATTTTTCAGGTAAACTGCCTGTAAGTAAATATTTCTTTTATTTTGAAAATCTAGGCTCTGAGGCTGAATTTTCCAACCAAGATTGCAGAGCCTGCAGTGCTTCCTCTGCTAGAATTTGCATGGCATGAATATTTACAGGAGAAAAAAAAGGTGCCTTTTTTTTTTCCCCCAAAGTGAATTGTGCTTGAATTACCTCGATTTAGCTCTGATTTGTCAAACGAAAGCTATCTTCTATGCAGTAGATAAAGATAAAGGTGTTCTATACCTTCTCCAAGTTCTGTTCAGGATACCATTTGGTTGGTGCAGAAACATAAAATAAACAGGTATTTTGTTTGATTTGGGAAGAAAACTAAGGTAGGACTAGTCCAAAAGAGGAGGGCAATGGTCTGTCCTTTTCTCTGTGGAAACTTTATTTTAAATATACAGTATTTGTAATGCTTGCAGAAGGTATATATAGCATTAGGAAGCATTTGAAAGCCAAGTCCTGTATTTACAGCAGTTGCAGTAGCAAGTGCAAACTTCCCCAGATTGGCCTGCCAATGTGCCTGGATCCTAGTCTGAGGAGACCACTTCTAGGGTTGAATAGAATAGGCCTCCTTGCGCATCCATTTAGTTTTTGGCATTTCTGCTAAATCTGCCACTAAGAATTCAACTGTATTGGGGGTGGGGGGTCCTCTATATCATAGAATTATAAAAATGTAGAACTGGATGGCACCTCGAGAGGTCATCTAGTCCTGCCCCCTGTGTTGAGGCAGGATCAAGTAAATTTAGACGATTCCAGTATCTTTCCAGATATCAAAATTAGTCGGACTGGTCTACAATGCCCTGGCTCCTCTGTTCCCCTTTTTAAAGAGAGGTACTTTGTTTGCCCTTCTCCAGTCCTCTGGAATCTCACCTGTCCTCTGAGTTATCAGATAATTGCTAAAATTCCAAGATTGCTTCAGCTAGTTCCTTAAGTACCCTTGGTTGAATTTCATTAGGCCCTGCCAACTTGAATAAACCTATCTTCTCTAAATATTCTTTAACCTATTCTTTCCCTATTTTGTCTTCTGTTCCTTGCCCATTGTTGTTAATATTAATTATATTAGTCTTTAGTCACCATTTACCCTTTTAATGGAGATTGAAGCAAAATATGCATTAAACATATCAGACCTCTTGAGATCATCAGTTCTTAGCTTTCCTTCCCTGCTATATAGAGGACCCACACTATTCTGAACTCTGTTTACCATTACCAATCTAGCCCCTCTTTGAACTGGAATTTTTACAAAAGATAAGCAGTATTTTGAAGACTTTTCATTGAAATTAAGACTTCAGAGGTCTTGTAGGCAACACTTATTACCACAGTGTTGCTAATATGCTGTATATGGAAGCTAGGGGCCAAATTCAGCCTTGGCGTAAGTGAGTAGCATTATAGTGAAGACACTTGAATTGTGCCTGCTTTCACCAGGACTGAATTTACCCTACATCCTTACCAGCTAGGTTTGTCTTTGCCCTCTAATACATTTCGCTATCACAATCTAATGAATCATGTTTAAAAAGAGAGTGCTTAGATATTTAGGCAATTTTTTCTCTGTATCTCGAGTCTCCGGGTTAATTCCTATAATAAAGCTAATTCTGAAAGATAAGAGAGCCCCCATCAATATAATCTTTATTCTTATTAATAATTTATGTTAAATCCTAAAAAAAAATAATGAAAAATCTGATTCGCCTAATAGGGTCCTTACATATCTACCATATAGATGCTTGTTCCAATGGCCAAAAATCGCTCAATCATTACAGTTGCCAAAATTGCAACTAAGGTCAACGAACATAGGGGCAACCTCTGTTCCAGTCTAATCTATTTAGAGTCTTAAATATGTTAATGATGTGTGTGGTATAAGAGCCTTGGGGTCCTTAAAATAGGTACAAATTGCAGACACATATCCAAGAGCAGAATTGGCTGTTAATTTTTTGTGTTATGATTTTTGGGTTGCATATGCTGCTATATGGCATCACTGTTCATGGAGGCAAGCCCTTTGTCTCATTTGATGAGTTAATGAAAGGCAAGCAGGGACATGAATGTCCTGTGCACAAACTTGCCATGCGGACACTGCCACCAGCACTTTTAATGCATAGTAGCAGTGTCCCTGTGTCAAGTCAGTGCATGGCAAGCTGGTGTGCTATAGATTCATACCCTGGCTTGCTGCATGCTAACTCACTGAGTAGACAAGCCCACCCTAGGCCCTGTCTATGCTGATGACGGTATGGCTACACTTGCGAGTTAGAGTGCAAAAAAGCAGCCCTGGGCGCCCTAACTCACGACGCGTCCACACTGGCAAGGCACGTAGAAATCCCAGACTCCACGGCTGGAATGCTTCTGGTAATCCACCTTGACGAGAAGCATAACGCGTCCTGCGTCCCGGCTGGGTGCCACCGTTAATGCGCTCAGATCGGCCTCCAGAAATGTCCCACAATGCCTGTTCTAGCCACTCTGGTCATCACTTTGAACTCTACTGACCTGCCTTCAGGTAACCAACCATCAGACCCACCCTTTAAATTATCTGGGAATTTTGAAAATCCCCTTCCTGTTTGCTCAGCCAGGGGTGGAGTGCTCTCAGCGAATCTTTCCAGGTGACTATGCCTTCACGCGCCAGGCGATCCCCAGTATGGAGCAATGGTGAGGTGCTGGACCTCATCAGTGTTTGCGGGGAGGAAGCTGTCCAGTCCCAGCTGCGCTCCAGCCATAGGAATTATGATACCTTTGGGCAGATATCAAGGGACATGATGGAAAGGGGCCATGTCCGGGATGCACTACAGTGCAGGGTTAAAGTGAAGGAGCTGCAGAATGCCTACCACAAAGCCCGTGAGGCAAACAGCCGCTCCAGTGCTGCCCCTGTGACCTGCTGTTTCTACGAAGAGTTGGACGCGATACTTGGGGGCGACCCCACCTCCACTCTGAGGACCATCATGGACACTTCAGAGCCCAGTTCAACAAGGCAGGAGGAGGAAACCAGGAGCAAGGGTGCTGAGGAGGAGGGAGACACCCCGTCATCCCTAGATGCATGCAGCCAAGAGCTGTTTTCAAGCCAGGAGGAAGGTAGCCAGTCACAGCGGCCAGTGCTTGGGGAAGGACAAACACCAGAGGAGGTGCCCAGTAAGTGGCTTTTATTTTGGGAAGGAAGTTATACGGTGTGGGCTCTTGGTGCGAGGAGGGTTAGGGCAGCATGCATGCCTAGATGCAGAATAGGGCATTGTTGTGATCTCTCACATCACGGTAATCGGCCTCAGTGATCCCTTCAAAGGTCTCATGCAGAAGTGGGCAATGTGCTTGTGCAGAATATCAGGGTTGGAAGGGACCTCAGGAGGTCATCTAGTCCAACCCCCTGCTCAAAGCAGGACCAATCCCCAACTAAATCATCCCAGCCAGGGCTTTGTCAAGCCTGACCTTAAAAACTTCTAAGGAAGGAGATTCCACCACCTCCCTAGGTAATGCATTCCAGTGTTTCACCACCCTCCTAGTGAAAACGTTTTTCCTAATATCCAACCTAAACCTCCCCCACTGCAACTTGAGACCATTACTCCTTGTTCTGTCATCTGCTACCACTGAGAACAGTCTAGATCCATCCTCTTTGGAACCCCCTTTCAGGTAGTTGAAAGCAGCTATCAAATCCCCCCTCATTCTTCTCTTCTGCGGACTAAACAATCCCAGTTCCCTCAGCCTCTCCTCATAAGTCATGTGTTCCAGTCCCCTAAGGTTCCTTGGGAGAGCTGCTGTGTTCCTTGTCCCAGTCAGGCTAACATGGGCCACTGTGCCATGAGGCAGGGGGACCATTGCTGCACACAGCAAGCTGCATATGGGCCAGGGTGGAAGCTACATTGTAGTAGAAGACCCTCCCTTCCTTCCCAGTTCACCCTCAGCAGTGAGATATCTTCCAGAATGAACTCATGGGGAAAATGTGGGGACAGTGTTAAATATGGGGGCCCCCTGCAGCTGTTAGCTCTCCCCAAGGCACAGAAACCCAGAGGACAGAACAGCTGTGAAACAATCAGTCCTCCTTACCCCTGTGCTTACTCACCATTTTGGGGCTCCTGTGGGTTGTGTGTGCTCGCTTTGGGATGGGCAGTTTCTGCTATTGTGTACACTGTGCTTGTCTTTAAGTACGGGTGAATTATTGCTTTGTCTGGTGTGAACAATGCTGCCTCTGTTAAGTGTTGCATTTTGGCTTTACAGATACAATCTTGAGATCTCAGCCGTCCGTGTTATCACCGGCCGAAAGACTCCAAAGAATTAGGAAGAGACCACGTAGAAGCAAAGAGGACATGCTGCATGGAGTAATGCAGCAGTCCCTTAATGAAAATCAAAAAGCACAGGAGTGGTGGGAGAGAGAAAGGAGGGTCCGCCAGCAGAATGCAGATGACCAGCACCAAAGCACAGAGCGGCTGCTAAGCATTATGGAGCGCCAAGCGGACTCAATACAGGCGCTTGTAGCTATGCAGGCGGAACACTACTATGCCTGCCCCCCCCTGCAGCCCTTGTCCCAAAACTCTTTCCCTTGTGCCCCCATGTCACCTCCAACCCCCTCCCCCCCCCCGGGTTCTTATTGCCACCAGCTGCCTCCAACACCTGTAGCTTCACCATCCAGCCCGGCAAACTACAACCCTTACCTACTCCACTCAACCCCCATCACCATGCATTTTAGCCAGCCTGAAGTGCAGCACTCCCACCGTTACTTGCACTGATGAAACTGCGTAAGTGCTAAAGCAATGGTGGGAGAATCTCATTAAAAAAATCAGTATAATTACAGCCCTCAAGACTCAACAATTACATATGAGCATGCTGAAATGTGGTTTAGAGCCCTTGCTTCCCTTGGGGAATCCTTGATTAATTATAGGTAACTATAGAGGTTACACCTAGTTTGGTGAATGGGTTTTGCCAAAGCAAACCTCCAAGCTGACCCAAATGTGAAACCAGAATAATTTGTTTTTATGATCATGTTCTGTTATAACAGGATTCTGGAAAGCCTTCTATAGCTTTCGGACATTTATTCTTGATTTCAGGAGAAGTTGCAAAATATAGTTGAATGATTCCTATGTTTTATTTTTCATGGTGGTGTTCTTAGGAGGGCTGGAGTTTGGGAAGGGAAAGCATAAATACCTAACAAGTAAAACGAAAAAAATAAATCCATCTAACTCGGCATTTATATCACATTCATCAGCATGGAGTCTGAGTCTGTATTACTGACTGCTTCTGTACTAAATCCAAAGTGTAATTCCTGCAGATGTTCGTTTTTTCTTCTAAATTCAGGAACTGAAAGGTGAAACCTGGGAGTATCCCTCCAGCGTGATGTGTTTTATTGATGGCCAACTGCTGGGAAGTGAACAAGAACTGCTCAAGTGGGCTTATGACAAGTGGAACTACCAAGATTTTAAACCTGTGGCACTTTACCAAGCTATTACTGAGGATTTTTACACCAAACATATGCAAAATAGCAAGGCAGGTTACACTGGTTTCTAAAAGGAAATTGTAGGGTCTGTTACCAGTTATAAGCTATGTAACTGTAATTATTTGATGTGACTTATCAATGGGTTGCTTGTTTGCTTGCGATTTGGTGGGTATTGGGGTCTTGGGGAGAGGATAAGAGGAATTGATACTTTCTAGACATGACTTCTTAGATCCATCCATATAAATCTGCAGTATGGTTGCCACTCAGTTTTTGACTTCTTGATTTGCACTCTGTGTCTAAGACCACAGACTTACAGTGAAGTTCATGCTGCTGTCATACTAAAGGACCGCCTTCCGTGCCTGTGCTCTCTGCCCTACCTTTTGCTTACTGGGCAAAATGGCAAACCCAACAAGAAATGAAAGGAGACAACTGCACTGTAGTGCCTAGTTCCTCTCCTCCCTCCCACCACCACATGGAAGGTACAGCAAAGAGAAATAATCACTGGAATCCCACCAGAGTTAAGGAAAAGAAGAGTTATCTCCATACCCAGGGAATAGAGAAAGGAGATGGGAGATTTTGTTTCTCCCAGCAGCCAAGAGGGGAGGGAAATTGTGGAAAGCCACCTCCTACTAGCAGCGAAGAGGAAGGAGAGAATGTCACCTCTCAGCAGCCAGGGAATATAGACAGAATAGAACTAAGTTGTTTCTGGTCAGAACTGGAATGAAAACTGCTGAAATGCCAAAGAAAGGAATGTTCTTGTGAAATTTCACCTAGGACCAAAATCAAAAGTGCTACAAATATCATGAGTAAACCTATTTTCTTGAGATTTCCAGACCAGTTTTGTAGACTCAGAATATGTCTACACTGCAGCTGGGAGCAAGCCTCCCACTCTGGGTAGATAGACTCATCCTAGCAGGGCTTAAGCTAGCGGGCTAAAAATAGCAGTATGGATGTTGCAGCTCAGGCTGCCGCTTGGGCTCTCAAGTCCACACAACTCCCTAGGCTTGGCAGCACAAACTCCAACCTGAGATGCCTGAGTGTCCATACTGCTATTTTTAGTGAACTAATTCAAGCCCCGCTAGCGTGAGTCTGTGAGGCTTGCTTCCAGCTGCTATGTAGACATACCCTCAAGGGGTGAAATCCTGGCTCCATCAAAGTCAGTGGCAAAAACTGACTTCAGTGGGGCCATGGTTTCATCCAGGATGTCCAGATAAGTTTCAGATAAGCAGCTGAACTTTTCAATGCTTTTGCAAACACTATGATGTTTGATTAATGGGTTAATTTTTGTCAATGTTTCTGGAAAATCTAATTCAGTTGTCATACAATTTTTTAAAAATTTTTTCCTATCAGAGATCAATTTATCCTAAAAAATGCTGAATTATTAAGTTTGCTTCTTGCTGACTGGAATTTAATTATTTACCTCCTTATATCTGACCAGTGATCAGCCATCCAGCAAAATAATTCCATTTGGCATAGTAGTCAGTGTTATTATGGATTAATTTCAGAGTAGCAGCCATATTAGTCTGTATTCACAAAAAGAAAAGAAGTACTTGTGGCACCTTAGAGACTAACAAATTTATTTGAGCATAAGCTTTCGTGAGCTACAGCTAGAAGTGAACTGTAGCTCACGAAAGCTTATGCTCAAATAAATTTGTTAGTCTCTAAGGTGCCACAAGTACTCCTTTTCTTTTTATGGATTAATTGGTTGTGATCTTACATAGGTGTCAGTGAACCTGCACCTGCTTACACCAGTGATGAAATGGGCCCAGCCTGATGTCTCCTAGTGCAACATAATGGTCTTTTTTTGTCCAAGAATGACCTGAAACTTACTGAATATTTTTGTTTCAACAAAATACTAGATTATATAGCTAATACTTTATTATTTCTAAAAGCTGTTTTGATACCTAATTATGGGTCCATTTTAGATGTTCGTTATAAAAAGAAACCTGAGACCATTTTACTGAGCAGCTAAACTGTCTTACATCAGAACAGTGAACACTTAAAAGATTTTGACACTTTTTTTTTAAACTGGATTTTTTTCCTGATTTAAACAGCATGTGTTTGTGTACTTGGATATAGCTATTCAGGAGCAGCCCACAGGCACCTTGTTATTTGAGGTAAGATATAGAAAAAAAGAGCAAACATAAGGCCCTGTCTTGCAGCTCTTATTCTCATGAGAAAGGGCTGCAGGATCTTTCCTTTTGAAGTTATTTACAAACTTACTTCCCTCCATTTTGCAGCTCTATTCTGATATGTGCCCCAAAACCTGTGAGAATTTTCGCTCTTTGTGTACAGGAGAAGCAGGGACCTCTCGCAGTGGTCTGGAGCTTACTTATAAAGAGTCAGTTTTTCATCGATTAGTAAAAAATGGCTGGATACAAGGAGGAGGTGGGTTTAAAAACATCTTCTGTAAATCTGGTGTAATTCTGATTTTGGATGGAATAATCAGCATGAAAATTAGATTTTGTCCAACAAAATAAAGCTGAATTTAGAGATTTAAACAATTTGTGATGGACAAGGTTTTAACTGATGTGTATATACAACAAAAAGCAGTGTCTTCTCTCTTGGTGATCTTGTTCCCTAATTATAGGCAAACCATGGATAAGAAATCAATAGTCCATATTATTATTATTTAATTAGCCAAAAGTTTTTCACAAGGCTCTTCGCAAGAAATTAGCTGGAAACATTTAAACACTGAGAAAATCCATAAGAAACATCCTATGTGTTTTGTATAGATGTTACTTTACATATCTATTTAACCAGTCATAGATATCCAGAGGTTTTGGTGACATGGAGTATATTTGAACATCGGGGTTGTGCATGAAAAGTGTCATTGTGAATCTAGGAGAATAGCTTAGTAAATGATGAGTAATCCAAGAAAACAGCATTGCAGTAAAAATAAGCATAGGTGTGTTTGAAGAGATTTCTTTCAGTTCTTCCTCTGTTTCTCTTCTCTCACCTCCCTGCATCTCTTCCCTGTCTTTCCTTCCTCCTCCAAACATTGTTTAGTTAATACTGTTTTAAGATCAGATTTCCAAGACATCCTTTTTGCTTTCCCCAAGTAACTCATTTAATAGAGATACATATGAGGTCCAGAAGAGCAACTTAAAATAATTGGCTTACTTCTGAGGAGGATTTCCTTTTACCTGAGTGACATATACAAGAGTTTAAATAAACTAACAACTGTTTGTTTTTTGTTTTTCAAACTCTTTTCAATTGTGTTTTTATATGTTTCCTATACTTGTCAGCTTTGTGTAATGGCTGGGAGTTTACTGAAGGCTTGCTGGCCCTGACTTGCTATATTATCAGATCCTTATTTTCATCATCCCTTGTTCTAAGCACAGGTAATTATTTATGGATACAGGGCGTATTCACTGTGGCACATTTTCATATACTGAAATCTGTTTCTTAAGACTAGTACCTCAGTCCAGCAACACTCTTGAAGTATTTTACTAAACACTGGAAACTAGGTACGCAGGTACTTGTATTAGCACAGCAGCAAGAAGGTATTTATTTTTCTATATATATAATGTTTCTTACTGTACAGTATATATGGATTGCTTATTTCTGGAGACCACCTCTTGGAGCGAGAGATTAATTCATTCTGCAATTACACTAAGGCCCCAATCCTGCAGTTGATAGCATGCAGGCAGACTGTTGCACCTGTGTGGAGACCGTTGCATTCAAACAAGGTTCCATACAGGTGCAGCAGTCCACCTGCATATTATCAATTGCAGGATCGGGACCCATGTCCTTGACCTCTGTTGAAACTGCCCAATGAAAGTGCCAATTAATGCCAGTGGTGAACATTTGTATTCTGTCACTTTTGTCTAATTACATACAGACATAACAGCTGGAAGAGGAGACAGTGGTGAATCAATTTATGGACCCACTTTTGAAGGTATATTTAAATTTCCTTATCTTACCATGTGTCATAAATATAAAGGGAAGGGTAAACCCCTTTAAAATCCCTCCTGGCCAGAGGAAAACTCCTCTCACCTGTAAAGGGTTAAGAAGCTAAAGGTAACCTCGCTGGCACCTAACCAAAATGACCAATGAGGAGACAAGATACTTTCAAAAGCTGGGAGGAGGGAGAGAAACAAAGGGTCTGTGGGTCTGTCTTTATGCTGCCTTTGCCGGGGATAGACCAGGAATGGAGTCTTAGAACTTTTAGTAAGTAATCTAGGTAGGTACATGTTAGATTATGATTTCTTTAAATGGCTGAGAAAAGAATTGTGCTGAATAGAATAACTATTTCTGTCTCTCTTTTTTGGAACTTAAGTTTTTGCCTAGAGGGATTCTCTATGTTTTGAATCTAATTACCCTGTAAGGTATCTACTATCCTGATTTTACAGAGGGGATTTCTTTACTTCTATTTGCTCCTATTTCTATTAAAAGTCTTCTTGTAAGAAAACTGAATGCTTTTTCATTGTTCTCAGATCCAAGGGTTTGGGTCTGTGATCACCTATGCAAATTGGTGAGGCTTTTTATCCAACATTTCCCAGGAAAGGGAGGGGTGCAAGTGTTGGGAGGATTGTTCATTGTTCTTAAGATCCAAGGGTCTGGGTCTGTAGTCACCTAGGCAAATTGGTGAGGCTTTTTACCAAACCTTGTCCAGGAAGTGGGGTGCAAGGTTTTGGGAAGTATTTGGGGGGAAAGACGTTTCCAAACAGCTCTTCCCCGGTAACCAGTATTTGTTTGGTGGTGGTAGCAGCTAATCCAAGGACAAAGGGTGGAATATTTTGTACCTTGGGGAACTTTT